GCATGGCTCAGCACCATCCAAACCGAGCTAGAGGGTGGCTTCGCTTTATGGTAGCACTGTGGCGGCGGCTGTGGTTGCCTTTGCCTGTCGCTCCACACAGATGCGGCGTGCATGGACACGGATGCGGTGCCCACGTTGACACCTACGATCACGCCACCTGCCCCCGGACGGGACTGCTCGCCCCACGAGCGAAGCCCCTTGAGCACGCATGGGTGTGCATCGCAAGCCAGTGGCTAGCACGCACGTCTGCCCTTGGCATGGATCCCACCGATCGCCGCCGCCTCGACTTCGTCGCTTGCGGGGCCACGCCGCGAACCACAACGTTCAATGCAATGCATATGTTGCAGCGAAATCCGAATCCCAGCGTCACCAGCAATAATTTGTCGGCACATACATTATGTAGCTCGTTGACAACGGCTTCCCGGATGTTGGTTGGTCATCGTGTTCCTGACCGCGTGCGATGCGTCTGCAACCAGTACCGTCCTCACCATCGAGAACCAACCATTCGTATGAAACCCCGTGGCATTCCGCATCGCTCCACGGCCGTCGCAAGATTTGTGGACCCCCTACTCAAACGCCAGGAAGATAAGAGGACTCTCTTTGCCAAAAAACTAGATGAAACTAAAATTTCATCCGAACTCCCCATCGGTGAGCGGAAACCGAACTGAGTCGCCGATAAACGTGAATCAACTCTGGCATCTTTCAGGCGGTTTAGCAAAGCCGGACCGAAAAAGGTTGCACCCACCAGCGATGAGGAAAATGTGCCCAAAGTTTTTCACGCGAAAGTGGATCGCACCACTTGAACTTCGTGCCAAGCCTCAGGCACATGTCCAACAGTCCACGCGCACAATTGCGGGGTTCAACACGATATTTGCACGCAGGAGCATGTAGAAGAAACTGTTTCTAAAACTCCGCATCTACACCATCAACAACGGAAGCTATGTTTTACTTCGGCTGTTTGTCAGCACGAACGATTTCACCGACAGTAAAGCACCCCCTCATCAAATCTCAAGCTGCCTATAATGTATATGGTAATTCATTGCAGGATACACAGGGGCACGTAAACCCAAACCCTGTGCAAATCGAAATACGGATGCAGATGAAGCACCGGATTCTGCAATAAACGAGCCTTTGAGCAGCATCCTTGGCATTCCACAGCGGCCTCACGTTGCCTCCAGTGTATTGTGTAACTTATTGCAGTCTGCATAGGGGCACGTAAACCGAAACCGTGTGCAAATGGAAGTACGGGGGCAGGCGAGGTACTGGAAGCTGCAAAAAAATTATCTGAGTAGCATCCTGAAGATTCCACCGCTGCCCACCCTGGAAACCATGCCTTCTTCTTGGACTTGAGCAGCATTTGTGAAAACGCACATTCCTGGATCCAGCATTATCTGGTCCGCACGTCATGACGCCTTGTTTATCCACCATGGACGGCTGCAAAGGATGGTGGGGCTTGTCTCGTTCTGCTTCCCGTAGCCGCATCGGGAGGCAGGGAAACCCCCCGCATCCCCCCGCGCTTCATAGCACAGAAAGAAAACGGTAGAATAATTTCCGGCACGTATGACTCGAGCAGCACAATGTTCTGTAGCGGCTCCTCTGCCATTTCACCGAAGTAGTAAAATTAAAATCGGAATCGAAAACTGTGCACGTCCGCATACCCAGATGTCGTCGGGACCTGCAAAATCGAAGGAACACCACGCAAAGCTTGATACCTAAAATCTTGATTTTGAAACGAATATCCGCCGATACCTATAAGCACGTCCATCACAGAGAATGTTTCTTGCAGAAACCTACGTGGAACGTATCATTCGGCAACATTTCTGCCCCAACCATAGCAGGCTTACTGCCTCATTGCAGAAGAAAAGCACTTTTTCTGCAATACACCAAAGAGGGGGGAATGCCCAGCTTGCAACATCTCAAAGTCACACTGATCATAAGCACGGACGGCATGTCGTGGCCAGCCACGCAAAAAGTCGTCTTCGGATTTTGCAAAACCTAAACTTTAATTTCGGGCTCAGCTACACCTTCATATCGGGTTCAACAAAACCTTGTTTTCGGGTTTAGATAAATTTTCATTTCGGGTTTAGCTAAATCGTAATTTCGGGTTTAGGGAAATCGTAGTATCGGGTTAAGCCAAGCCTGAATTTCGGGTCTAGCTAAACTTTACTTTCGGATTCAGCTAAACCTTAATTTCGGGTGTGGCTTAACCTTAATGTCGGTGTTAGCTGAACGTTCTAATTTCGGGTGTAACTACGCTTTAATTTCGGGTTCAACTAAAGCTTGGTTCCGGGTCTAGCTAAGCCTTACTAGCCTCCTCTGAAACTTCATGGGGCCTGGCTGAGGCACGACGGCATACCAGGCAGGCAGGTCGCATCATTGCGCAGCGAGGTAGTCGGCAGCTGATGCAGCGGTGCTGACAGAAGGCGAGCCAACAAAACGCGGCTCCGCAAGCGCTTGCCGAAGGTTGGTTGCGAGTTGAGGCGATCGGGCATGGACCGTAGGCAAGGTGTCGTGCCAGGTTAGCTTCAGCTGGCAGTGGATCTTCGGGCCGGTCGAGCCAACAGGCGAAGCAGGCCGCGATGGCACCGTCATGGTCAGCTGCGAATTGAGCTGCGAGGCCTTGCGGCAGGTTACGCAGCAAGCAGTTGGCCTGGGGGGCTGCGCAGTAGTGCAGCAGCAGCTACGCTGAAAGGTGGGGATGGTGGTTTTGGCCGCCCGTGCATGGGGCCGAGCGACGGCCCAGTGCTGGACCGTGTGCTCGACCTTGTCGCCGACGAAAGCCCCAGCCGCTTTGACTGGAGCTTTCTGGCAGGCGCCAAAGTCCGTGAAAGAAATCGTTTAGGTGTTTGCTGCCTCCAGGTGATCTTGCAACAGGTGGCTGTGCAACACTGCAACACGGAAAATGGTTGTTCGAGTGAAACAACGCTACCTGATGTAGCATCGGCGGCATGCCAAAGCAAAAGGCCATTGCAGTCAATGTGCTGGGCATCTCGGCAACATAGCGAGAAACACGAACCTCTGCTTGAGGGGAAGTTCTTGTTCTCTCGACAGTTGAAGGGGTGCATAGGCCAGGCGGGAGGGCACGCCGCCGACGGAGGAGGAGGACCCGAAAGTGGGAGGGGATGGTCACATTCTCAGAAATGGGCGGAACCCTGAGAGCCCGCGCCGAATGCTTCCGGGCCTGTGGAGAGGCGGGTGAGAGATCAGCAAGGCGCGTCTCATCATTCGCACCATTCCTCCGGCAGTCTTGTCTGCTTGCATCGACGACTGACTAGATTTTATGCTCGCCGCCGGCTTTGCATGAGGGCACCGCATATTTCGACCGCCCGACATGGTCGAAGGTGCCGCGTCGACGGAGAGCATATATGATTGGTGGGCCGCACGGTTTCAGGGGCCTGTATTGATAAGGTATGCAGTGACGAAGCTCTCGCTGGGAGATGTTGAGAGTGCAACGAGCAGCACATGGTTCTCGCAGTCAAAGAGAACGAAACTTATCGAAACTTGGACAACTGAGATGCCCAATGTTCTTCGGAGCTCAAATTGGTAGTCAGTGTAGATTTTCACGGGGTTGCTTCTGCCCATGCGATGCCATCAACACGGGCTGCTCCCAGGTACGCATAGCCAGTACACGTCAACGGCGAGACCGTGTCGTACCTCAGTGACGCCTCCTCGAGCTATGGCCACGTACGTACACCACATACACCCACAATTCCCGCGCCGCCTGGAATCGGGCGATCTTACCGGCTTCGCTCGAGCCACTTCTGCGGAGATCCGCGGGCGCGCGAGTGCATGGTCGCCATGTTCAGGCATCCACCTCTGCTGGTTCGACACCTTGCAGCTGACCCGGCTGCCATCGTTGAAGTCCCGATCATCGCGCGATGCGAGCGACGATCGCTGAGGGGCGGCTGAGCCGAAGCCCGGTTAAACATTTGCAGGTGGGCTTCACCTCGCCTGAGCGGGCAAACGACGGCGTCCTGCGCGAGTTGAGACATGTTGAGACCCAACCCACAAGAGCAGGCCGTGACGAGCTGGATCCGTAGCTCGTGAGAGACAGGAGTTGGAGGTGGCTCTCACGCTTCGCAGCCGGTGTTACCAGGCCGAAGGTCCACGGAGGTGCAGGCCGAGTGGAGGTAGCCGAGCTCGCAGTCTTTTGTAATGCAAAACGCTCACGCGATGACCATCACAATGCCAAAACTTCATTTGTGATGATGGTGATGCTGATGACAAAAATGCGTATGATGAGGGACAGAAACCTCGGGCAGCCACGACGACGCAACAAAAAAAAAAACAAACAGAAATAAACACGGCTGCACATGGGGCGCCAACTGATGCTCTCGGCAATCCAGCAATGTCCGACGACCGGACACACACTCCGCAGCTGGAGGGGGCTCGGTCCTTCAATGATTTTCTACCTTGGACATGTATACAACAAACAACACACACACACACACACACCGGTAAAGTCCGCGGAACAGCGGAATCTCATAATCTCATAACACTGTAATTACAAAATTGGAGCTCGAGGCCATCGCGCTGCAAGCCTTCATGCATTGAGCTCGAAATGACCGCGTCAGCTGCGGGGTGTGACGAGCCGTGCACCGGGCTGCCTTCACACCATGAAAAAACATGACCACGTGCCCATCTTGGCTGGGAGTGTGGAAAGATGAATGTTGTTGCCACGGTGTAAATGATACACGGCGCAATCCGTGAGACGCCAACGCCATCAATTCTTCATGATACTGTGTGAGCACAATGCAACAGTGCCGGCTGCAATGAGTGATTTCGGGACGAGGCCTCCCCTGTGTGCTGACATTTTTCATGGCAGGTCTGGTGACTGACCGCATGTCTATATGCGGTTGCCGGCATGCTTCATCGCTGTTTGGCCAGCACCTTCAGGTTCGCGCAAACCTACCAGGGTGTGCAAAGGTTGGAAGTCTCGTTGCAGCAGTCGGACCTCCTGCCTCAACGGTGGCCCTGCACAAACATCAACTTTTCGAAGACTATGCCTCAAATGTTTGTACATCACGGACATCCTGCGCCGTACTTCGCAGTCACCCAGGGCCCGGAAAACGGCTTCTTTGCCAGGGTTGGGGCATCTTCCCAAAGCTCTTCCGCGCACTTCACGGCCTGCAGGCACAAGTGGACAGGTCTTCTGACTCTTCTGCGCTCCACACGGTGAGAAGATCGGTGCAAGCCTGCGTCAGCGTCACAGGGCGCTTGGGCTGCGGGTAGGGTTTCTCCGTAGAGTCCAAGCAATCCTGATCAAAGCTTGATCTGAAAATCCCTCTAAAGGCCAATCTGTGCTCCTCCAGCTGCTCGCGCTCGTCCTCGCTCATGTCGCTCAGGTCTTTGCCCTGCACATGATTTCAATCAACTCTCCGCGAGGCTTCGCACAAAATAGGACCTGCATCAGACAGCAATGCCTTAAATCAATGCATTACGGCATTACTCAAACGGTGCATGTGAGATGCATCCATTCTCTGCGAACGACGAATGACTCATCCGGCTGTTCAACCACACGCTCTACCGCGACAAGCTTGAAACTAGAATGGATGGACTTATCATACCAGTCATACCATCTGAACAACACTCATCAAACTGACCACTGATTTGCTCCTCGTTGGGATGGGAGCGAGAGCTTCGTATCACCTCGCAGATTAAGAACAGCTTGTTGCTTCAGACTTGCGCCCACTTCAGCCGGGAGCCTCTAACAGGCAACCGTCCTCTTCGAAGTCAGAAGGCTCCTGTGTTACCTGGCGATGGAACTTCTGGGCAATCGTGCATGATGGGCAGAACCCCCCGATTTCACAGATCTGCTTCGGTGGTCTCGGTGTCCAGTAATGGTAGCGAAACATGCAGAAGCTTCTGGTGCTTCACATGTCGTCAGCAAAAACTCTTCGTGCTCGTGGCGACTAGGAGCCCTGTTCAGCAGGCCTCTGCCTCCGGCACCCGGAGCCACCGGGCTCTGTCTGCGTTCCAGCCTGTCCTGGGACGCTTCCGGTTTTCACGTGCTTCCAAAAATGTCTTTGATGACCCGTGTGCTCCCTGTGTTCTGTTGATTTGGCTGCACAGTCCCTGCTGCATGAGGCTCTTCCTGCATTTGATTGACCCCGTGCTGCCGGCTTGGGCGACCTACATTTCTCTATGCGCATGCCGCATCTTTATGCTTCGATCATCGCAAGTTAGCCAGTATGCCTGCATGCCGTTGGCGATGCTCTGATCAAAGGCTTGGGACCTTTCGGTGTGGTCTGCTGTCAACGCTTGTCGGCCGAGTGATTCTGAGCACCGTTTTCGTGAAGCTCACTTGCTGCCAGTAAGACCGACCCTGTCGAAAACAGCCCGGGGCATGCGCTTGCCACAGCTTTGGCCCACAGGATCAGGATGGCACAAAGGGAGTTCGGAGCAGACCTTGGGCGAGGGCAAAAATTTCCCGAGCGCTGAAAACGCACATAACCAGAAGATCAGAAGTGGGAAGCGTGCAGGGACAGGAGCGGGCGGAGCTGCGACTTCTTTGTCGCCGTAAAGCCTGCAGTGTACACTTTCTGTCCTGATTGTGATTGTGCTATTGTCGTCTGTGCTATTGTATTGCTTGTATGATGGTGAGTGTGATCTTTACTGTTTCTGCTACTGCCACTGCCATTTTCACTGACACTCTTGGTTGTTCTTGCCATTGTAACTGCTGCAGTCATTCCTGATATTGTTGCCGTTGTCGCACTAGCACCGCTGACGATTTAGCAATACAAGGTTAATACCCAAACAAATTAAAATTCAAGCTACCATGACTGTTAAGTTATGCTTGCTTTGATTACCATAAACCTACTCTACTACCACCAACAACAACTACTACTCCTCCTCTTCCTCATCCTCCTCCTCCTACTCCTGCTCCTACTCCTACTCTTACTCCTACTCCTATTCCTATACTCCTACTCCTATACTCCTACGTGGCAAGGACCTTTATGTTCTATTTGACGTATTGCTTTGCTGATACTATGAAAC